TAAGGAACATTCTGGCTGTGTTTCTTCCAAGACAGATTTGTCTGTTCTGGCTTAGATGGGCATTTGCATATCAGATAATCATTTTTGCATTCAATAACTTTAATAGTTTATCAGCCCATCCATTGGCGTGCCTTTAACACCTCCCTTTTAATTTTTTCCACCCCCATTTTGTCAGATATTGTCTCCCCACTTCACTGAGTTGTAACTTGTCCTCTCCCCCATTACTTCCCCTTCCCCTCTTTCCCCACTTACCCCTCATGACCATCAATGTCAGTGTGAGCACATCTCATGTAGACACATCAATGTACTCCTGTAGCGATCCTGGCTGTCTACCTACCCACCGTGCCCCAATCGAGAATTAATACAAACTAGTCCTTCCTAAGCATACAGTCCAATCCTATTCAATGAAGTCTGAAGTCTGATGGGAAGTTCCTGATAAACATTTTCCGTACTCTATAAATGATATCGTGCTGGCAAAGCATATTGAAAGTACCAGGGACTGCTAAGCGAACAAACATCTGCTATGAAGAAGTACTGTGAGAATGCTCCATAGAAGTGAAGATGGCAAGACTTCGTGTCACGTGCTTTGGACATGTTATCAGGAGAGACCAGTCCCTGGAAAAGAACATCATCCTTCGTGAAGTAGAAGGGTAGCGAGAAAGCAGAATACTTTGAAGGCGGTGGGTTGACACAGTGACTGTACTAATGGGATCAAACATAACAGTGATTGTGGACCGTGACTCCGTGGCATCCAATATCACTGACGAACTAACCCCGGCAGGGGGGTTTTCTCTTTCCGCTGGATATTTTGTCTGTGTCTGAAGCAGCGCTGCCTGCAGGGCTGGTAGATGTTCTGGTGGTGACAGCCTGTTTGCATTCAGAGTATTTTTTCTGTGTGAGTTGAAGACAGTCAACTTGATGTGCAATTTGAATTTTAGGAGTGAGGAGCTGAGCTATAAGTAAACACTCTAAAATGTAGGATTGATTTAGTAGAGAAATGCTGGTAGTGGCGTGGGGCAGGGATAATTATAGGGTTCAAATGGAATAGCTGTCAATCCTTGCTGTGTACTTGGAAGCAGCTAGTCAAACCCTCAAAAGTTTTCCCTTGGACATTGATTCTCTACTACTTCAGGATCTGGTGGTTAAGTAACTGGTAGAAAAACTTTAAGGTGTTAGAATAGGTTGTCCACTTAGTTGAGCCATCAGAAAAATCCCACAGAGAAAGATAAAATATTGTAGAAGCTGGACTGTCTAAAAACAGAGAGGATGGATTATTTAGTGTGATGAACCTGAGGCCTTCAATCTGCAATCCTAATTGTGTCTCTGTCCCATAATTTGGAGTATTTGGGGGCTGGAAATGCTAAATTATTTATTTCAAATGGATGTTCATCCAAGCAAGAGAGGGAGGTGTGACAGTTAGCAGAAGTGAAAGTAAAGTCCAGGGTAGTTCATCATTTTTGGCCAGAGAAAGGGAACCCAATTCCATTGTTCTGAATTATCCTCAGATAGAAGCCGTGTAATTGAAAATTAAAAGTGAAGCCCATTGCAGTTGACTCAACTCTGACTCACAGTGCCCCTGGCCATGTTAAGGCTCTTACTCTAATCCTCAGAAACTCTCTCAGTCGTGTCTCCTCTAGAAATGACTTCATGCGCAAGAGGGTAGCAGGGCAACTTCAATCATTCCAAGGAGGGAGGCCAGAAAACACTATCCAGAGGAAGGGGAAAATCTCTTGTATATCATTGTTGTTATTATTGTTAGGTGCCGTCAAGTCGGTTCCAATTCATAGTGACCCTCTCGATGACAAACTGTCCAGGGTAGAGCTGACCTCATAGATTTTCCAAGTCAACTGCCTACTTTGGTTAGTAGCCAAGTCTGTCATCCCCGTGCAAGGGTCCCTGGAATAGGCCAGGCTGCTGAGGTGGAGGTGAGAGTGTGATATTATCAAACACAAAGACACTTTCCAGACAGAATCATAGTTACCAGCCAAGCAGCTAATCAGAAACAAATGGAACTGACTGTTCAAGAAGCATATTGCCAAGGAAACTCCACACTTGACCAACATAGTTAATGACTCGCCATCCCTAAGGCCCTACCTTTGCCACGAATTGATGTGATAATGCCTAGGTCACTGAGAAGGGGAAGTCCAAGTCCGGAGCGTGGTAGAGGAGCAAGAGGCTTAAGCTCGAAAGGATCTTTGTGGACTGCTCCATCTTCAGATTTTATGTGAGGAGAGAAAAAGAAATATCCTTGGTGTTTAAGCCAGTTTTAGGAAAATATTCAAATCTTTTTATGGTTACAGGCATTTACCTGGTAGAGTTTTGCAATGACAATATGATTTTTTAATCTTCAGGGTTGCCTGACAATTTCTTAACCAGTGGCTAGGGAGCATGGTGTCTGTTCCAGACATGAATCACTATATTTAAGCCACCTTCTCATGCGGTGAGATCCTCCCACATTATCTGTATGACTGGGGATCCGTAAAACTCGCGTCCTGTCACGTTTCCTCTCTGCCGTGTCAGGCAGAGGGGCCCTCGACGATGCCCTGCCCTAATTCCTGGAACCTGTGCATATGACCAAAGATCACTCCCACGATTCCATTGCGACATAACACAGTCGACCTGAAGATAGATCATCAAGATGGACCTAATCTAATCACACAAGCTGTTAAAAAGCTATATATATATATATATATATATATATATATATATATATATATATATATATATATATATATATATATCTGTTAACAAATATATATATATATATTTAATTCAGAGCAGGAGGAGGACAGTAAACCAGAGAGATTCAAAGACCATGTTGCTGCTGCCTTTAAAGACAGAGGTCCCATGAGCCAAAGGTGGCCGCTAGAAACTAAGAATAATCCCTCACTAATTTCCAACAGGAAAATGGGGACGGAAGCCCTCCGCGTGGATGCAACGAACACTGCCAACTCGGAGTCAGCTGGGAAGTGGATTCTTGACGGAATCCTCAAGCTCAGAGCTCAGGCCAACTCAGCACCTTGATTTCAGCCCTGTGTGACCTTAAGCAGGGTACTTCATCTGCATTTTGACCAATGGAAATATGAGATAATAAATGTATGCTGTTTCAAGCCACCATATTTGTGGTAATACACAGCAATAGCAAAAGAATACATCGATTCGGAAGTTCATCTGTCTTTTTAGCTAGTTTTCACAACTTTCTTCTTCCTTTAGGTATAAAATAGCTTTTTTTGTGGCCAAAGTGAACTCCATCCATGCTCCCCGTCTTCCACTCCAGGGACATGCTTCCCCAGTTGTTAACTCTTTTCTTAGTTTCAATCCCTATCTTGTACTAATACCTCCCTGAAACCTCATTCCCCCTTGAACCTAAATCTCACCCTTTCTTTTTTGTCTTTCCTTTCCCACAAATCTTTATCAAAATACTTTGAAGGGATATTATTCTTGTCTCTGTTTTATAGGTGAAGAAAATGAGGCACAGCAATGATGATTTCTTTAAGACTATAGAAATACAAAGTGGCTGGGCTGAGATTCAAATCAAGCTACTTTCTGTCTTCAGAGCGCACTGTGAAATCACATCATTATATTACTTCCTGTAGCACCTTTGTCTTCTTTCACTCTATCAGAACCGAGAGTGATTTGAGTAGAGTCTTGCATGTATTCATTCTGAGAGACTGATGCATTGTATTTGTTAGAAATTATTTTACACTAAAGTGCATATTGAATTGTAAAGCACACAGTTATTCATTTCTAATTCTGGAAGGAGACTCTTTTCCCTCTCCCCTATACCAGTGACCCACCTCCCTCTTGTTTCAGGCCATGATGGGCATTTGTAAGATTGACCTTGGTACCAAGCACTGTAAGCAGTCTTAGCTTCCTAGGAGGCCTGCCTTCTTCATTTGCATGGATTAGGTGATGAGTAGAAGCCTTAGCTCTTGGCTTCTGTCCCTCAGAATAAATGCTAACCCTCCATAGAGCTAGAGAGTGATGGAGGCATGATACTTTGAAATGTTCCTCCAGTTCCTTCCCAGGCTCCTCTGATTTCTGATTAATCACCCATCTTTACTTTTCTGGGGCCTTTAAGACTCCCCATTGCACATTGGTGTGTGCCTATCATCAGTACTGGTATTTTTTATTCATAATGACTGATGATTCTGTACCCTCTCTTGGATTGGATTTGCAGGCTTCTCTCTGTTATGTTCTTCTCTGCTTTGAAGTTTCATTTTAAAAGTGTGCCAGTAGTGTGTAAATTGCTTTTATGCTAGGCAACACTATTGTTTCAATTTCTGTTACATTATATTTACACGTAGTAGTCATTTTTTGACTTGTTGGGCTAATTTTATCTTTTTTTAGAAAAATCACTTTATTGGGGGCTCATACAGCTCTTATCACAAGCCATCCATCCATCCATTGTGTCAAGCCCATTTGTACATTTGTTGCCATCATCATTTTCAAAATATTTTCTTTCTACCAGAGCCCTTGGTATCAGCTCATTTCCCCCGTTCCTAAACCCTTGCTAATTTATAAATTATTATTATTTTTTCATGTCTTTTACTGACTGCTGTCTCCCTTCTACCCACTTTTCTGTTATCTGTCCTCTTGGAAAGGGGTTATATGTAGATCATTGTGATCGGTTCCCCTTTTCTCCCCCCACCTTCCCCTTCCCCTTCCCCTTCTGGTATCACTGTGCTCATTATTGGTCCTGAGGGGTTTATGTGTCCTGGATTCCCTGTAATTTTATCTTTTAAATAATGAAGACCATGAATTAATATCAAATGCATTTTGGTGATGAAACAACACTGATTTTTGTGTGTTGCAGTGGGCCTGTGGGTTTCAGGGCAATACCTTTTTTCTCATTTTCAAACCTAAGGAAAATTATTCATCCCCAAATGTATAAAGTATGAAATATTATTTGATAAATTCTTTTTTTCTTTCCTAAATAGCAGAATCTGTGGCAAATTTTACAGAGCTTTCTTTTTTCTCTTCCCTTTTTACCCTGATAGATTCTAAAAGAGAGGGATGAATTGAAAACCCAGCTTTATGCAGCATTGCAACAAATAGAGAATCTTCGCAAGGAGTTGAATGATGTCTTAACCAAGCGTGCCCTTCAGGAGGAGGAACTGCACTGTAAAGAGAAGAAGCTCAGTGATGCTAAGTGTCTTCAAGCAGAGCTGGAACAGGAGGTCCGAGACTCCTTGGACACCGTGCATCGGCTGGAAAACGAATTGAAAAGGCAGAGTAAGACTCAAAGTCTGATGAAAGTGGAGAAAACTCACCTGGAGGAAGAGAATGCAGAGCTAAAGAAGAGCCAGTCTGACGATAAAGCTAAGCTTCTGGAGCTGCAAGAGTCTATCAAGGACTTGAGTGCCATCCGCGCAGATCTCGCTAATAAACTGGCCGAGGAAGAGAGAGCCAAGAAGGAGGTGCTTAAGGACCTTTCTGACCTCAAGACACACGAGAAAACCAGGGAGGATGAAACAGCTACAATCATCAGGCAGTTAAAGCTTGAGCGAGATGTTCACCAGCGGGAGCTGGAAGATCTCACATCCTCATTGCAGACTGTGAAAACGAAACACGAACAGAATATCCAGGAGCTGATGAAGCACTTTAAGAAAGAGAAGTGTGAGGCTGAGAATCATATTAGGACACTGAAGGTACCCGTGTTGAATTAACCTGATGATACTGAAGGCATTTTTCTGGTGGCTCATGAAGTTAATAAAGCATAAACTTTTAGAGCTCATTCTGTATTCCCAAGCACTGGAGGGAAGATAAAACTAACAATAAAGAGCCTTATTCATGCCTGTTTGGCCAGGTTGACATGAGTTATAGCGGCCACCTGGGAGCACCTGTTTCAGAGCACTGAAGCCATTTAAAAAGAACGTGTAGCTATTTTGGGAGTTCAGAAAAGGCATAGGTGGCAGTAAGTTGGGGACCTGAAACCTGCCCTCATTCAACATTTATGACCTCCTAAAATATAAAAGGCAAAGGCTTGTCAAGGCCGTAGGAGCTATAACCACAGTCCTGATTAGTATGGTAACTACAGTGGATCAGCTGTCGGGCTGTGTCAACCTTAACCGTTCTTTTCCAAATCCAAGTTGCCCGAGTACATGCCTCCCTGAGATCTTGCAAGCGTCTCTAAGGTCTAATGATATTGGCGACACTACCGTGCAGGGGAGTCATTTCATAAGAGGAGTCTCAGGAAGGAGCTTTCTTTCCTTTCTCCATAGCTCTTTTTTATGACATGCTACAGATGCTCTATTATTTATTCTTTATCCCCTTTCATTAGAATGAAAGCACTGTGAGGGCTGGGATTTGAATCTGTTTTATTTACATATTTGAATCTTTTATTTACATCCCCAGTGCCGAACACAGTTTCTGGAACACTGTTAATATCTGTTGAATAGATGAATGGATAAATCTTAAAGAGTCAATTATGATTTTAAAAAATTCAAATTTCTTGAAAAGCAGAAATATTTAAAATATTTGTGATGGGAACTGAAGCTATCTTGAAAGACCTGATGTTTGTAGAGTGCTCTCAACTCTTTTATGAATTCTTCACCGTCCTCCTGTGTAGCCTTCTATCAGTGTGGGCATGAGACCATTGGTTGAGGTAGGTAGGGCAGAGCAGAATGGAGGCCAAAGAATAGATAAGAACCCTTTGGCATGTTTAATTTAGTCAAAGAAACTCATCATCCTATTTGCTGAGAGGAAAAAAATATGTTCCTATGAAACCATAACATGCTATCAATTGGAAGGTAACACTTCAAGTCAGGGATGATAAAGTGTGGGGTAAAAATATCTTAAAAGAGAACATGGTACAATAGTCCTTTAGCATTGATGAGCGCATAAACAAAAATAGGGAAATAAGGGATTTAGTCTTATATAGAAGAAAACATATATCGTTGCCTGATTGTTTTGGCAATAATAGTAATCCTAGGAAACAGTTTTTTGAGCCCTTTGGGTTTGTTCACTGTTGCAACAACTTTACATGTTTTACTCACATCCTTCCTTAAATTTATTATTCACATCCTTCACATAAATTGTGATTTAGTTTTTTATTTCCTTGATTAGGAAACTGAGAAACAGAATGTTAAACATCTTGTCCACGGTCTTACTGCTGGGGGGTGGGTGAGAGAGGATTTGCATTCAAGCTGCCTGCCTGTGTTCTTTACCATTTCCTTACATTAGAAAGACAGTGCCCTGGTGCCATAATGGTTACGCATTGGGCTGCTAACCACAGGCTCAGCAGTTCAAAACTCACCAGTCTCTCTGAAGGACAGAGACTAGGCTTTCTACTCTCATTAAGAATTACACACTTCGAAACTCACATGGGCAGTTCTACCTTGTCCTATAGCAGTGGTTCTCAACCTGTGGGTCGCGAACCCTTTGGGAGTCGAACAACCCTTTCAGAGGGGTTTGCCCGATTCATAACAGTAGCAAAATTACAGTTATGAAGTAGCAACGAAAATAATGTTATGGTTTGGGGGTCACCACAACATGAGGAAGTGTATTAAAAAGTCGTGGCATTAGGAAGGTTGAGAATCACTGTGAGTTGGAATTGACTCGATGGCAGTGAGAGAGTGATACCAGAAAGAGCCTGAATTAAGGATGACTAGGTAATGACTTGGCTACTAGGTGGCTAAAGAAGTTGTGTGCCAAAATAGGGACTCTGGGAAGCAGAGTAGACTTAGAACAATGCCAAATCCAGTGGTTTGTCATGTTGAGTATGTGTGAATGACAGTTAAGTTTAACCATGAAAAATCTAGGTAGAAAACTTCAGTACATAAGGATGCTGAGGGAAAATTTCGAATTAGAGTTAATTGTTTGAAAACTGGTAAGTAATTTGTAGGTGGTAGTTGAAATCAAGAGCTTTAAGTGAGATCACCTAGGAAGAAAGAAGACAAAAAGCACCCGGGCAGCACCACTTAATGGGAGGATTGAGAACGAGGTTCCAATAACTAAGACTAAGAGAGGCAGGAGAAGAGCCAGCAGAGAAGGTTCTCTTGGAAAGTCAAGTAAGATCTGTCAGCAAGGAGAGAGTTCAGAGCATCACATGTAGACAAGCTAAGAGCACTGAAAATGCTCATGGCATTTGCAGAGGATGAGTGAGAAATACCAAGAAGTATGTGAGAGGTTTCGATCAAAAGTATATAACGTTCAGTAGGTGGCAACATCTCTCTTTCTATGAAGGTTTTGGAGGGAATCAGTAAGATTTGGTGAGTTGCTAAGTACAGTCTGGGGAAGTTGATGTGAAACATGAAAGCAGTCTCTCATCTCTCTGGATTAGAGAATGGCAACAGTACAATAAGCACTGTAAGAGGTGAAGATGCAAACCGCTGTGGAGAATGGTCAGTTGGGTTGGGCTGTAGTTGGGGAGTATGCAGTGGGCAGCCATGTAGCCAACACTGAAGAACATACGTCATAATTATAAATGAATGAAACTGCTCGCGGATAAGAATGGATGACTAGAAGTTACTGTTAGCTGCCACTGAGTGCCCTATCCATGGCTGCCACAGCTGGATTGGACTCTTGTGAGCCACATTGGCTGATTTTCAGAAGTAGACTGCCAGAACTTTCTTCCTAATCTGACTTACCTGAAAACTCTGCCAATACCTATTCAGTATCCCAGCAACACACAAGCCTCCACTGACAGAGGTGTGGTGCCTGAGTTTAGGTGTAATGGCCAGGCCTCCTACATGGAAGGTGGGAATTCTGCCACTGACCATCACTGCTTGCAGAGGTTCCTATAATTAATCAGAAATTGTTACCTGAGAGCTAAAATTTTCCGAGTTGGTGGCCCACGCTTTGGTTTTGCAATGGGTTACTGTTGTGGGATGTGGATGAAGATAGTTGGAATTGGACATGCTCAGCCTCTTTGAGGTTAGGTCATTGGATGGACATTTGACTCTTTTTAATACTATTGCAATAGCGTTCATTGGCCACATACCGTAAGCACTTCAGCTGTTGCTAACAAGGAAGAGGGGGATTGATGGCAAATGCTGGATCTCAAAGGAACGGATGGTAGGGCTTTGCAGAGGATGAACATGACATGATCCAGAGCTAGCATTGGTCATTGCCATAAAGCCTGGTTCTTTTTAAGGAGCTTATAGTTTTCTTGCGATTGCTGTTGAAAATACACCCTCCTTTCCTTTTCGTTCCTGCTAACTAACTTCAGGCTCTCATCACCATTATTTCAGTTGTATGATCACATACAGACCACTAGGCTTTTGTAATGATGTAATCAATTGTAACAGATGTGAGATTATCTGAGTATTTAATTCTCACTCACAGTCTGATAGGCTTTCTTGAGTAGAAAAGCTAATGGAGGTACAGTATGCAACTCATGATTCAGCAGCTGGTGACCAAGTGCATCCTGCTCCATAGTAGAAAATAGCATTTGGGTTTTGGATTTGGTCAACCGGAACATGCATCTGAGTAACCTGTGTCCTCCCCCCTGATGCCTCTTCCCACCCTGATTTCTCCCTTTTAGTCTTCAGATGAGACCACATTTCCCTTTCTCAGACCTATCTGAATGCGTCACTCCTGCTCGCAAACCGTCCCTGATCGTTTCCTCCCTCATACGTTTCCACTCGGACCCAGCCCTTTTGAAGCAGGCCATCTTTATTTTCTTTTACTGCTCTTCAGCATCCTTCGTCCGCATGGACAACCATCCCCTAATGTCTCCGCTTCATTTTCCATCTAGATTATGCTTTCCTCTCATTGAGTGAAAGAAACATGGTACTTCATCCTTCAAGGCTCAATCTCTTGTATGAAAACTGAAGTTCCAATAAATCCCAGCGGAGCTTGTTAGTCATCTTCCCCTCTTCTTTGTTCTCAGTGATCTTTGTTAATGTCTTCAGTCTAGCCGATTTAGGGTGGCTTGTATAACGGTTAGGAGTCCCTGGGTGTGCACAATGGTTCCTGTGCTTGGCTGCTCAGGGAAAGTGTGCAGAGTGGGGCTCATTCAGCTTCACTTCGGAAGAAAGGCCGGTGGTCTCCTTTCAAAATAATAGGCACCGAAAAGCCTGTGGAGCTCAGTTCTTCTCCGATACTCATGACGTAGTCTTGAGGTGGAAATTAGTTGACAGCAACTAAGGCGGCTTTTGTTGTTGATTTTTTTAATTTTAATTTTTATGATGTAGTTTGGGGAGAACAAAAACAGCAAGGAGGCCATATCTGACTTCCTCTGCCTTCCTTCTTGCCAGGAGGCAGAGGTCAGGGAGCTTCTGTCCTCCCTCCTCCCTCCTCCTTCCTTCTTCCTCCGGGGGCACTTAACTTCTCTGCTGGGTTCGATCATCCATGGCAATGGCCACACAGAACCCACAGGCAAAGCTCATGAATAGGAGGGTTTGTTAGAGAAGTGAACAGAGTACCACAAGTCAGGTTCAGAAAGAACAAGTAAGGAGATAATCTTTGGTTCAGAATAACACCTTTCCTTAGCCAGTGGGCAAGTCAGCCTGCAGCTATGGGGTCCTTCCGGCTCTGCTTCACACTCTCCTAGTCTCAGTGCTGCTCCTCTGTTCTAGCTCAGGGTCTCCCTGCCTTGGCCTCTGGTTTTGCAGGGATCATTATGTATCTCCAATGGTCTCCATGCTGCAGCCTCTGGTATTGGTTTCTGCCATTTCTGACAGAGGTCTTGAATATGTTCCATTTC